TATCGCCCGTTTCGAATAATCATCATCAGACGCGGAGGGAGCGATAAAACGCCAAGGCTAAAAGGAGAAATAACATAGTGTTACGTAAGATACCCCCTAAAGCGGTCAGTCGACATTTGAATAACACGTTCCGCGACATCGAGTGGAAAATATCCCGATGTGCGAGATATTATTCGACATAAGTCCCCATTATCGCCGATTATTCGGCGATCCCAAGACGCGATTTGCGTACGTTCTAAAAGAGGGGGAGAGGCGGAGACACATCAATATGTGCATATCAGTGGAATCCCGCGGCTGATAATTATTCAAAACAAACGTCGGCCTCTGGTATCAGATTAATATCAACGAAACACAGCCTATATTAACTGATATTTCATCGTCGAGCGACGACGATTATCGTCGGAATGGCCGACCGCCTGTCGGCTGGAGCACTCCGGCTAAGGGCGCATTGTAAAAATCCTCCATCCGACAGCCGATCGACGTATCCGACAAACTCGTGGCGCGTCAAATGAAACATCGGCCTCGCCGCACGCATGCACGCACGCACGCACATGCGTGGAACAATCTCGAACCTGGCACTCGCATTTGCCTGACATTCGCGCGCTCCTATCATTCACCGTCGAAGCGCGCAGTGTCGCGCCAAATCTCCGCATAACTATTACACGAATGTTAATGCACGCACGCACGCACGCACGCACGCACGCACGCACGCACCCGTGCGAGCCGCTCGCCGAGATTTGCATCCGCCCGCGCATTGGCAAAACTCTCTAAAGTGCTCCGTGCGCGACACACGAACGCGTACGCGCGCCCATGTGTGCGTGTGCGTGTGCGTGTGTGTGTGTGTGTACATAAGCGCACAAAGGAGAGGGAACCTTTCCATCTTTTCATCCAATCTATGTCACGCGGTGCACATTTTGCGGGTGCATTAACGAAGCCGCGCGAGAACGCGTCTCCGCCGGGCGAGGAGGAGAGAGCGGGCGGGCGCGCGCCTTTTTCCCGACGCGTCTTACAGGATCTTAAAAATCGCGCGCACGCGTCCGGGAGCCGGATAAAGCCTCGGCGGGCGGATAAAAAGGCGGGGGACACGTGGAGCGTCCGCGGCGTCAGGTGGGACGAAACTTTCGCCGCCGGCAGTCCATTAGAAGCGCACGGACGATTTAGCAGTGCGCGCCGAGCGAGTCGCTCGCTCTCTCTCTCTCTCTCTCTCTCTCTCTCTTTCCCCCTTCCCCTCTCGCTCGCTTCTCTGGAGCCCCGGCGGCTTTTAGGTCCAGCAATTTGATGCTCGTTGCTTGTCATGCTAATATCCTCAGCTTTATACAGCCGCCGAGTTTTTCCCCGCAAGCCTTCATACTACACGTTACCGCGCCGGGCGGAGCGGAGCGGAGCAGAGCGGAGCGGAGCGGAGCGCCAAGACCGAGCACCGTACGCGTCGTTGAGCACCGTGGAGAATACCGTCGCGCTTGTCGCTGTTAAAACCGCGTCCCCGCGGCGAGACGAATCACCGGAGAAGTGCCACGGCGGCAAAGATCTCCAGCGCGGTTACCCTTCCGCCTCGCCTCTTACCTCTCCCCCGCGTTTCGCCGCGCTCGTGCCACCGGCCACTTTGTCGCGGATGTTCCAATTACATTCGCCGTGATCTCGCGAAAAGCCCTTCGTCGCGCTTCGGCCTACCGAGCGAACCCCACCCTTCCCCGCCCCCCCCAGAGCGGCGCGACAATTCGCGGCTCGGAATGTTGTTGTTGTTGTTGTTGTTGCTTTCCATGTTTCGCTCTCGTCGTCGCTTCCTGACGGAATGCGGTGACTGTTCGGGATGATTGATAGGAAACGTCATAAAACATATCCGAGAAATATCGATTGGTTTTGCGATCGATCCTGGAGTCGAAGGAGTGCATGGATGCGCGATACCTCCGAATTATTCGGCGACTCCAGGATATAATTTACAGGAGTGGATTTTAAGAGAAAGGGAAAAGCATTCAGTGTGCATACGGAGAGAATTCTGCAGTTGTCAGTTGCTTAAAATAAGCAATATTGCGTAAGATATCCTAAAGCAGTCAGTCGACATTTGAATAACATGTTCCACGATTTGGAGCCCGAAATATTCCGATGCGTGATATATTATTCGAGCTAACGTCCATTACCACCGATTATTCAGCAATTCGGAAACATAATCTGCATAAATTCCGAAAGAGAGAGAGAGAGAGAGAGAGAGAGGCATTGATATGTGCATATTGATAGAATTCTGCAGCTAATAACTATCCCAAATAAGCAGAGCGTTGTGTAAGGTATCCGAAAACAATCAATCGACATTCGAGTAGCACGTCTCGCGGTTTGGAATAAAAAAATTGCGCCGTTACGCGATACGCTGTATTGTTATTATTACACGATGTTATTCGATATAAGTTTCATTATTGCCGATTATTCGATCTGCACGTGATCTGCATAATTTTTGGGAGAAAAATGCAGCACACTTATATTTAAATGTGCGTGTTGATAGAAATAATATGATATGTCATAATGACGTTTCGCAAAGCCTGATGTTGTATATAATATCGGGAAACTATTGATCGGTATTTCAATAGCACCTCCGCAGCTTTGAAACCGCGAAGTTTCGGATACATGATATTATTCGATATACCCCCCGAAATTTCGCGTACTGAAATCTCATTCAAAACGAAAATTTATTCAAAAGCGATCGTAAGAATAATGCCGCTTGGAATCACGTGAGTGAATATTTAACTCTGAACGTCGCGGTAGATTTTCTTAATTCAGACGAATGTGTCGATATTTCAATCGATTAAATTGAATCTCTTCTTGTGACGGCGGAATCCGTCGCAGAACCACGTCCTGAATTTCTCACGAAAATATCCACTCAGAGACTCAGAATGCAGAAATTATCTCTCTACACGAGTGGGGAATCACTCGAGTTTAAAAATCCCGAATCTATCCACTGTCTGTACTGATTGCTAATGTGTGAGGTATCCTAAATTCTCGATTCGCATTTTAGCAAAACATCTTCTGGGACTTGGAATCGAGGTCGTCGCGATGCACGATATTTCATCCGATTATAAATGCCGTCGCGAATTACTCAGCAGCTCAAAGATGCGACTTCCGTCGCAGTTAAGTGGGAAAAGTACATTTGCATGTGCACATATTTGCACGTAAAATAATAAAAAAAAAAAAGTGTAGCCAATGTATCGGTTAAATAATTAAATGATATCGACCACTTTCGCAATTCATGATATCGTAACAAATATCCTGTACTAATCTAGCGCAATTATAATATAGCTCCAGAACGCGTCGTTAAACGAACGGTCAAACGTTTCGAAAAGCCTGATGTTGCATAAAATATCGGGAAACTATTGATCGGTATTTCAATGGCATCTCCGCAGGTTTGAAACCGCGAAGATTCGGATACGTGATATTATTCGATATACCCCCCGAAATTTCGCGTAGTGAAATCTCACTCAGAACGAGAACGAAAATTTATTCAAAAGCGATCGTAAGATCCTTTTTTCCCTTACTTTCAGTATTCGGTTATTAAATTCGAGCTGAACGCTCGAGCGATCTCAGACAACAAGCTATTATTACTTCCGCGTTAAAGGTCAATGCGATTTACCGCGCATGCACTACATTAACTGTGACACTCCGCGAGTGTTGAGATTCAACACTCACCATTTCTCGATGTAATCCATCGACGTCCACGGAGCCAGGTCCACCCACGTCCAGCCAGATACATCGTCCCAAGTCATCGCCGCTGCGTCGTCGTCCCACGTTGATTGCGCTTCATTTCACCTTCGTTCTACCGCACTCGCGACGCGATTAATATTCACATTTCGACGGCGCTTTAACGAATTAACGACGGCGCCGCGGCGCGCCGCGCCGCGGCGAGATTTCATTTATCCCGGCGCGGAAATTTGCGGAACGAAATTCACACGCGGTTGCGCGGTCAACGCGAGATAAAATCGAGATGCGCTCGCGGATTCTTCGGAATTCCGGTGTGCGATGCGGTTGCGAAACGCGACGAATCCGCCCGAGTCTACGGCGAATACGATCGAAACCGTACGCGAAATATGATCGGGAGAAATGGCGCGCGATATCAATAGGCGCGCGCGATGTCCTCGCGATATATCAGCGAAGATTATACTCCGCAATCTTGCCGCGAAGAATACCCCGCAATTTTGCCGCGAAGATTTACTCCGTGGTTTTTCTCCGCGAGGCTCACTCCGCAATTCCGCCGCGGAGACCACTCCGCGATTTCCTTTGCGAGGCTCATTTTCATACTAACTCCGCGATATTAAGTTAACGCGATATTAATCGGAATAATTTAACATGGCATTAATTGGAATAATTTAACGATCTTCCGCGGGGAATGTAATCACGACGCGAATAATAAGCATGTAAAAATGAGAACGTTGAGGGAGAAAGATGGTAATCGCGGCAATGGCGGAATCTGTCGCGCAACTATGTGGGAGTTTCTCCGCCGAACGTAATCGCCAACAAGAAGCCTCAACTTCAATATCCGCGACTTGTAATCCTTATGAAAGAGCGATCGGCGCTCTTTGCATCTCGCGCGAGATGCAAAATATACGCGTGTGAAATCAAACGCTGAAGATCTTCCTCGCAACTATCGCGACATCATCGCGTCCGAATGATTTCGCGAGCAACCGAACGGAAGATCCGAAGCAATTAGACGCATATACGCGAGATATAAAAAAACTGATACAATCGCGACCTCCGTAAAATTTATCAACGCGAACAAAGCAACGTAAATTTCACGCAAATTGGCATGATTTTAGTGCGCATGACACGCCGTTCGAAACAATCAGCGAATTCTCTGGGTAAATATTTCCCGTTAAACTAAATAACTTTGATCGAATACAAAAAGAAGTATACAGCTGAAGAATTCCGATAAATATATTTACTCGAGCCTCTAAAAATTTAAATGTTAAATTTGATATCAAGTAATTCGAGTATCCATCAGATGACACAGATGTCTTCGGAAAGTTATCCGCTAATTGTTTTGACACAGCGCAGAAATCTACTGGTAAATCGCATTGATTGAATCGCATTGATGTGCAAAAGGGAGAACACGCATCTCCGAAAAATCCACCATTTTTAATTGTTAACTTTGTTTTTGACTCACCGAACGTCTCGCCGTCAGAGTCGGCCGCGTTCAGCTACAAAGTCTGAAACAGAAACAGGAAACGGTCCAATTAATTAGACTCACGGACTCAATCTAATCGCGCGCGCATAGAGACGCGAAAGGAATGCAACCTTTGCAGTCGTGATGCGCCAATTATGCTGAAGGCAACATTACGAGACTCGACAAGGAGAGATCGAGAAAAGCAATGTAAAAATGTCTCTGAGCGTACCTTCGAGCCGACTCTGCTTGGCCCGAACCGGATCCTCCGGTTGCGGCATCTGCATCCACTCGAACCACCGCGCCTGCAAGCTCCGCCGGATCTGAAGCAAAAAGCAATTACCCCATTTGATTACAACGGCGAAAAGATTACACAATGTTAGGCAAAAGTACACGGATATTCGACTCGATTTAATCGCGCGCGCATAGAGATGCAAATGGATGAAACCTTCACGGTCGTAATGCGCCAATCATGCTGAAGGCTACATTACGAGACTCGACAAGTAGAGATCGAGAGAAGCAATGTAAAAACGTCTCCGAACGTACCTCCGAGCCGATTCTGCTTGGCCCGAACCGGATCCTCCGGTTGCGGCGTCTGCATCCACCCGAACCACCGCGCCAGCAAGCTCCGCCAGATCTGAAGCAAAAAGCAATTATCCCAATTAATTACAATGGCAAAAAGATTGCACAATGTTAGGCAAAAATACGTGGATATTCGACGCGACCGTTTCGAAAGTACAATAAACTCGACTAGTTAACTCGATGAAAAATTAATTACAATTATATAGAAAATTAAATTAAATTGTATAAAAATTACACACACACACACGCGCGCGCGCGCGTATAAAGTCTATTATAATACAATATATCTAAAGTTCACAGGCTACATAAAAGCTACATAAAAAATAAATAAAAATGATATTTTAGTAATTGTATGTTCTCGAAAACTTGATTTCTGAGTTTAGCTATATTGTTACTTGCACATATATTTTTCCAACGTCAAATTTGTCCCGTAAGTATGCGTGCGTATTTTACATTGTTTGTTTCGCTTATATATTTTCCAGTTAAAAAAGATAAATCTGTTAGTCACCTCTTAAGCTTCCAGACGCTCCCAGCGCTCGCGAAGAACCCGGCACGGCGGCGGTTGCGTTCGCATCATGTCGCAATATGCGTCGCGCACGAGAGCTCTAATCAATTTAGAAATATCGTGATAGCGCGCGACTTCGTACGATGTATTCACGTCCCAGTCAAAGACGACTACAAGAGCGAGTCCCTGCCTACGCGCGCGCGCCTATGTTGTCCGTTAGGTCACCTTCGGAGCACCGAGTTGCTCAGAAACACGATTACACGATTTATTGAATCGCTCAACGTGTGTCGTATGTTGTGTACAATATCGTTGTTTCACGTTGCGAAATACTCAATTATTTACCACGCGTTCCGATAACATCTGCAGCATTTCCATACGTTGTACAATTGCCGATTATTATTGATCTTTCAACTGCTGGACAGAGAGAGAGAGAGAGAGAGAAACGTGCCGGTCATTATCTCAGTCGCAACTCTCCTCGCTGATAAATGTACGAACTCGTTACCGAAACATTTAATTATTTATTTATATCCATTGTTACGTATATGTATCAATTTTTATCGAATTTATCTTAATTGGTCATAGTGAGGGAGGGACTGCTCGGTTTGAAAGATAAATACTTCAACGCGAAGATACCGATTCAACGTATCAAAAATCAAATTCGTGACTTAAGAAGAATGTATGAAATTGTTAGAGAAGCTAGGATACTCGACGATTGCGAGGTACCCGGCACAAAATCGTACGCATGATTCACGTAACGCGCAAATTCGAGCCAATTTACGAAAATCCGAGTAGCACGCGCCGCTCGGTCCGATGTATTCGATCGCAAATCAATAACTGTTGTGAAAGCGAGTCCCTACCTATGTATTTATATATGTTGTTCTATAGGTCATGCGACCTTCAACGCACCGAGACTCGGTCGAAATCACAGTTACACAATTTATATAATTATTTAATGCGCCATGTGCCGGAATATTAAAATTTCATGCTAATGAATATTTAATTATTTATAACGCGTTCCGATATTCTCTATCGCATTCCTGCAGCTGCTGATTATTAATTTTTGGATGCCAGAAATTTTACGTCAGAGAAAGTTATTACTTTAATTACTATATATAAGCGCGATAATGTAATATTACATTGCATTATCGCGCAATTGCATAATATCATTTTGACATTGATATATAAATTAATAATATATAATGTTATATTAATTTACTAGGCTTCTAAAGAAACTGCGTGAGATATAAATGAGATCTGAAAAAGTAACTCTGGAAGTTTCGACAGATTTGACGTCTGGTAATTAAAAAAAATGAACATGGCTCGTTGATTAAAAAGAAACCCCCTTAGAATCTACAATAAAATTAAAAGCTATTGGGCAAACCGATATTATATTTAATGTTGATTCAATAAAAATCGCAAATATTTCGACGTAAATTTTGCCAAACAGACGTCCGATCGACGTTACGGTCGAAATATTTCCGATGGTTTGTTTACTCTTTTTTCGGGTACCCAGCATCAAGCATACAATACCGATTTATGAGCGAACTGCGTACAAGCTTTCATCGTGAATTAAAACCCCACTAAACGATCCAGATAACTTTAACTACATCAAACAAATGAGTCCGCAGAATTTTGCGTGAATATATTTTCGAGATGTAATTCCGATTCAAATCCAAGTTCGATTCAAATAATATTCTTATGAGATGCCTTCGCGATGCCGCATCAAACAAACAGAAAATAAAAATAACGAAGGTAGAGTGATTGTTTTCACGTTAGTTTTGGCGATAAAGTTAAACACTGCTGAGCCTTTCTCGTCAAACTGAGAGAAAGTACGTGAATATTTGATACGAAGCTATCCATTTCTTTAATCCACTTGCGCATCAGAAACGGATTTATCGGTCCGTTTTGCTCAACCATTTCTAACGAAAACGGATCTCATATTGAAGACAACTCGAATTACAGAAATTTTTCTTGTGACACGTTTCATTGGGCTAGATCAAAATCGCGATATGGACAAGACCTCGCAAATCTAACGATCATACAATCGAGCCAATGCGAGTAAATACGATAACAAAGTCACCCGCAAAAATTTCCCGAAAAAGATCCAAGCGACATTTGGCAAAGATTTGTCAAATTTCCCAATAATAGCAACTGATTCTGTTGCATTCCAAAATAATACACGAGTATGATACCTGCAAAATTTCACGACGCTCCCACGGCGCTCACGACGATCGGCAGCTCGACGACCGCGAAATAAACGCGAAGTAGACTCTCATTCCTTCGCAGGCCGGCACTAAACGACCAAAGCTGACAAAGACGATCGACGCGTGTCGTCCGACCTGCGATTACAACTCGTCCACGTGAGAACCCGCTGCGGTCCTACGCACAACTGACAGCGCGCTCAAGTACGCGGCGACCTTTAATCAAAACAATACACGCGGCTTCGCGCTTCTCGACGATTCTCGACGTACAGGCCGTCCCGGAAGTATCGTGCGATATTTTTTGTACCGCCGTGTCGGATCAAGCCGCGAAACACCGTTGAGATACATACTCGGCGCGCGCGATTCTTCCAGAACAACATCCCGCACAACCGCCATGCGGAAATATGCGGCGGGACGTTTATACGCCGCGCGATATCCGCGAGAGTAAAAAGAGTATAAATCGATAAATAACTTCTCCACGCACGAACTCCCCGTGCTGAAACGAGGAGAGCGCTGCTTGCGCGCGCGCCGGGGCTGGCTAATTACAGGTCCATTAACAGACGCATCACCTCAGGAGTAATGCACAAGCGGGAGCATAATAATGACACGTAATAATAACAAGTTTAATATCATGGCCTCGCGGTATCCGCAATCTTGACGGTTACGCAACGCTAATTTAATGAAACACCCCGAGCCGCTCGCGCGGCTCGCTTTTTAATTGCGCTTTATACGCCGTAAAAAGAAGCATTCGCAGGGGTCGGTCCTTACGACATCATTTCCGGGATTAATGTACAATTTCCGGATCTTTTATTCCATCGCGGTCGATAGTGTTCTCGCGCGAGCGCGCGCGATAAATGAAAGTAACGCAACGCAACGCAACGGCCGCCGCAACGGATCTACCCTTTTACGATCGGTTAAACCGGTGCCGATGCAATTTGCATCGCTAATGAGTGCATCGGCTGGTTTCTAAGACGAGACGTATCTGCGTGCGCGTTGGAATTATTGCGTCTTTAAAGGTCAAATCTGCAAAACCTCCCGCCGTTCCCACCGCTTATGCTGGCTAATCGGCAGCTCGATGTGGTCGGTCGCTCCGCGAATTTATAAAAATATACTTTACGTAAAATAGAGGGAGAATTCTGCTTTACGGCAACGTTGACTCAACGGAGTCGGTCCGCGACGTGTCGAGCGGATGCCAAGGTGGATGGCGAAAACGAGAAAAAATGTCGATAACGGGCGAGGGATCGAGCGCGATCGTTGTGTCAAAAAGGGCACTAACACATTCACGTCGCTCTTTTCGTGTCTTTTGTGCATGCGGATTTCATATGAATGTGCGCCGTTTTGTTTTCGTCATGCTCAGCGAGAACTCTCAAGCTACAACCGCGTGTAGCTTGAGATTTTTCTACGGGCGCTTCGCACACGTGGAAGCTGCTAAATTCGGTTGCAAAAGTACGCAGCAATGTTCCGCGAAATTCTCCTCGACGCGGCGAACACGCGCCCTCGGTACGAACAAGCTGCGGAACCTCATTGTTAACCGGACCGGATAATTTACGTTTAAATAACTGACAGCTCGTGGTATTGATTTCTAGATCTTTGATCGTTTTCCTCGCCCGCACTAGCTTGACGCTCGAATTGAATTTTCCCTCGCGTATTTTCGTCGTGTAGGAATACTTGTCGCTCGGTGCGATCGATACGACGCAACGTTTGCCGAAGAAAGGTCAGTATCCCGTCGGTAAAATGTTTCAGTACGGCATCTCTCTCCTTATGCGGTGAGAAAGCGATCACGGCCGATTGTTCTTGGGTCATAAGGAAGAAGATAGTAAACTGCTGATTGATCAATTTGCTTGTCAATTGTTGCTTGCGGTCCTACGAACGCAAGCGGCGCGAGCCAAGTGACCTTCGTTATAAAATAATGCACGCCAATTTGTCACCGTCTAAACCGTTCATGCCGAAGTGATTAATTTCGTAAACACGATTCGAGATGTTAACCCTGCAAATTTTGTCGGACTTGAAGAAGCAGCGCAGAGGCTTGAAGTGAAACGTTACACAGACTGTCGTGTTCCCTAATGCTACACATTCTTACTTAATGCTGCTCGTTTCGTACTTCACGTTGAACAAAGACTCGTCACAGAATTATTTAATATCTAATTATCTCAATATTTCATTTGAATTTATAATTTTTGCTCTTAATCCTGACTGAGCAATTTGTATTAATTGCGTCATTCGTATTAATTATATAATTTATTTGATTGTTGACAAAATATGTGAATTAAGCAAATATGAAATAAATATTAGTATAAGTAAGAGTAATATAATAACGAGTATAATAGGATCGATAAATAAACGCAAAAA